TTCTAAAAGTTAGTGATGGATAGAGGGGAAAGATGGCAGATGTTGGGGAGTTCAATGCCTCCCTGTATTGCACTGGCCTCTCTACTGCCACCTGCTGAATTTAGCAAACTCTGCACGGAACCATCTATCTGCACTGCCAATTCACACCTTCCATCTCTCTTCAAATCCATTAGCAGCATGTCAGCCCTCAGAGTCACACTCTAATTTATCTCATTCTGTTCTCAGGTCTACATACTATAATTACATATCTGATTCATACTACATGAAGCTGCACTGCCTTGAAATGGCAGGTTAAGGAATAAGGGCGACAAATTCTTAAGACTGCTTCCTGCTGACGTGGGAGGCGTTGACCATCTTTGGGAGACCTGAGAGGGTTGGGGGGCTGCCACGTCCTGGGGTAGCTGGTTGTTTCATTGCAGTCCAGGCTGTAAGGAACTCCCTGGCACCAATTAGAAATGGCAAGATGTTGGCAGAGCAGAGAACAAGGATAAGTTTAGAAAAAAAATTTTCTTAGGTCCTGTCACTTGAGGGGAAGATTGTAAGATGAGGGAAGGGTTCCCAAGGAGTCCCAACATGAGGGAAGGGAGTCCTGGGACCAGGAAAAGATTGAATAACTGGAGTGAATCTGAACTGTTTGATTGACCTCATAGTTATGAGTGTATAGTGGTATTGTTGAACTTTACTATACTATAAACAGTAGCATGAGAAATAGAGATATCAGGAACATATTTCATTCTTTTTAATGTCTCAACTCACTTTATCACCACTTAAGCCTTTTTATCCTCAGACCTTTATAACTTTAATTCGTACACTTTTCATTACCATCTTAGACCTTCCATTCTCAGACGTTCATAACTTTCATTTTTCTACCGTGTTAGACCTTTCCATCCTCAGACCTTCGTAACCACATTCTCAGATCTTCATACATCTTACACTTTGCTATCTTCACATAGAGAAAACCTAAAATACCTGTTCGTGGAATCTTTTTTGCTTTTTAGCTGGCAAGACTACCAGTCGTCAAAAGCACCAGAGTTCTTGAGAAGGATAAGATTTTACCTGAATCAATGATTAAAGAATAACAGAGACTTCCAGCAGGCTGCATGGACAGCCACCCCCAAGGTCCTCCATCCATAGTAGTGGGCTTCAGGACACCTGCCTTCTTGGTGATAGCATGTGACCTGTGGATTACAGACTATAGGAAGACTCGCCTACCATTGGCCCAAGCAACACAGGGAAAGTCGATTCCACTGTCATCTTGTTCACGGTCTGGAGTACCTTGTAGCAGTTGAGGTGAAGGGCAGGGTTGCTCTGTGACTAGTGTTGTCACTGAATCGAGATGAAGTTTCTTCAGTGCCCATTAGTCTTCTTGGAGGAAATGGGGTGGAGCCAGAAGCTGTTATAAAAAGCTTCTTAACAAAAGATTTTAAATGCCATATTCTCTAGATCTCTGAGCATTTGAGGGCTGTCTGTTTAGTATCTCAGCAGTTAAGTTTGCCTTTAGTTAGAGAAAAATCCCTTTTTGTCATAAAAGCTGTACCTTTGTAAACGGCTTACAGGATGGACAGAGTGGTATAAATATCTTGTTAGTTTGAAATAGACCTTTGTGATTTTAAATTTTGATCATCTTTTCAAGATACATGAGTTAAATTTAAGTCGTATAGACCTAGCATATATTTTAAGTATAGTTAAATTAGACCTTTATGACTTTAAATGTTTACCATCATTTCAAGATACATAGCAATTTAGAAAGGAGATGTAGTATAGTTTAATTTAAGTTGCATATAGAGCTAGATAGGTATAAAGTTAAATTACAGGTTCAGAGACAAGCAGGACTGGATAACAGTAAAGGGGAACTAGAATGCAATCTCTGATCCGAACATTGTAGCAAACAGACAGGAGATTTTAAGGGACAGAGTAGACTCAAACAGAGGTCCCTGGAAAGGCACAGTATTTAGTAAACAAGCCATGAACAACAGAGCCAGTCAAAGAAGAAATCACAGACAAAAAAAATAAAATAAAATAAAAAGCAAAAAGATCTGGCAGAAATCAAAAATCCGGTAGACAGGTTTGCTGGCACAAGCCGCTGGAGCTGGGCGTGCCTACAGGTAGGTCACATGACCAAGATGGCAGCCCCAAGGTCAGTCCACATGGCCAAGATGGCAGCGACTATAAGCTGCTTTGTCTGTTTACCTGCTTGTTGGATGAAACCAGAAAGGTTCCTGTATGCATTTCCAATCGGTGAGGCAACTGGAAAACTGGCACAAGCTCCTCTTCGGATGCATGTCTGCCCCTGGGAGTTGCCAGGGGCCTGGACCCGAAGGGGACATAGCTGTCCCAAAACCAAAAAAGGACCCAGCAGATCGAACTGAAAAAGCAAAAAAGCACCGCTGCTGGAGCAGGATCTTATGCCTGACCCTCGGGAAATGCACCCAACAAGTCTGGTGGCAGTGCTTGCCTGTGCAAGTCACTGAACTGAGTGGGCACACTAAGCTACGTCACGTGGTTAGAATGGCACATGACCAAGATGGCGGCGTCCAGTTGGGCGCCAATGTTATGTTTTGATTTAAAAAGAGGAAAAGAGAAAGCTTCGAGGGATGAGACATGTTGACTAGTTTATTATATGGGCCCGGCAGTGTATGGAGACTAAGAGAGAAGAGGAACAGGGGTAATGTCTGACCGCCATGGCCAGTCGCCCTACAGGCAGAGAGCACATAGGTGAGAGAGAGCCAAGAGTAAACAGAGGAGAGTAGAGAGGAAGCCGAGAGAGAAGTTGGAGCATTTAAAGGGAAGAGTGCGCATGCCCACTGAGGTTCCACCCAAGTCCAGAGTCATCATGGGTGAGGGGTACATAGCACATTTTCTTGCACATGCCCTGATTATTGTCAGGGGGCGGGGTCTGTCTCTTAAAGAGGTAGAGCCATCAGAGTCAAAGCCTGAACCTTTCACCCCTCAGGCTACATTCATGAATTCTGTCTGGAAAAGGTGACTGGGACATCCACCCTCTTCCGTACAATGAGATTACCTGAAAATCTGGGGAAACCAGTCCCCCCCACACACACACACACGGAGCTCCTGAAGTGATGGTGGTATATGAGGCACTTCCGGCCTCCGAACGCTGGGGGGGCGCTGTCAACTCTCGTTGACCTCCCGAGCACCAGGACACAGGGCACAAACACAGTCCTAGGTTTAAACTGATTTCCCACGTGTGAGTATCATCGCAAGTTTTTCGAGAAAAATGCCCAAATTGAAGGTGGCCCGTGGGGCCAGGAGAAGCATGCACCTCTGGCCGAGCAGATTCTGGCTGGGAAGGCAGTGCGCGCGGGGACCCGAGACAAGCGGCGGGGACGCGGGGTTGAAGAGGAGGAAGAGTATGTTAGACCCTGGCTGAGCAGACGCATTTTGCAGCAAGCCAGGCAACAGCAGGAGGAGCTCGAGACTGAACATGGGACTAAAGACCAGCTTGCAAAGCCACGGGAACGCGCCACGCGGCTGGGTGAGTGACACGGGCTGGAGTGGTGGCATGGGCCGGGCTAGCTCAGTCCATCCGGATACGGGTTTGGAATTACAAAGAGGAGGCAGTTTTTCCTTCCCGCGTGGTCCTTCACTTCAACTCGTACCTTCTGGAACCTACCTCAGAGTTCCAACAGGAAGTAATCACTCACACCAAGTTCCAGTATTTATCCTCTGGGCTTGTGAAGTGTGACTGTTACCTGTGCAATGCTTTGAACTGTGTTAAGAGTTCAGGCAGTTCTAAGCCGGCCACAGAGAAACACTGTCTTGAAACCCCCCCTCCCAAAAAAAAGTTTAGGCAGTTCTGATACCGAAATAAACAATGTACTCGTCCTTGCTTTTAGCACCGGAAGTCTACCCCAAGGCAGAGAATATTAAATAGAGTAACATATTCCAGCAATGAGCAGCGGTGCTCGCCTGTAATCCCAGCAGGTGAGAAGGTGAGGCTAAGAAGGCCCTCGTGGACTACATAGTAAGGTCCAGATCAGCCTGAGATACATGGTATACCTCTATCGAGTGAGACAGTAAAAGAAAATGAATATATTCCTATTCAAAACAACAACAACAAACCCGCCATTAATTCTACAGGCCAGGCACCCCAGTTCGTGCCCTGCTGACTAAGATATGAAAAACATGGGAAATGTTACATTAACCGAGGTGGGAAAACAGTTTAGAATCGCGTGGGGGTGGGCGGCAGAGATGAGTGGGAAAGTACCTGATGATTGTCTCATTGGGGAGGTTGACCTCCAGTTTCTTAGTCTTGCCTTCTTGTTCTAAAAGCAGTATTGAGATAATTGAATATGGCTTTAGGGCCATAGTAGCTTTACTTGCTTTTTTTTTTTTTTTTTTTTTTTTTTTTTTTTTTTTTTTTTGGTGTTTTGAAGAAGGGTCTCATTCCCAGGATGGCCTCTAACTCCATATGTAGATGAGGATGACCTTGAACTACTGATTTTTGCCTCTTGTTTTTCCAAGTGATGGCAATATAGATATCTGACACCACACCTGCCCTTAAATTTTTGTTTTTAAATTACGATACTGTGTCTCCTTAAGTTACTCATGATGGACTTGAACTTGCTCTGTGACCAGAGCAGGCCTGAGTTTTAGGTTCTCCTGTGTTGTTGTCTGCAGATTCCGGTTTTAAGCCATGTATTTGATGACTACTCCCAGCTTTCTTTCTTTCTTTCTTTCTTTCTTTCTTTCTTTCAGTAAACTAACATCCCTATATCCACCTGTCTACCTGACATCTCTCTGCTTGCTTCATGGAGTCTCTTAGCACATTAGCCTCCCATTGCTCAAGGCTCCTCTTTCTCATTCTACATCAGGTTTGTCCGTAAACCCTGGTGATTTTTTGTCTTCAGGATATATCCACTTCCTTAGCTTGGAACATCCTCCTGTTAGAGCCCTGGAATCACTGTGGGAGCATCATCATTTACTGTTCTCTTACGTCTGTAATCCATTCAACAGCTAGTGATCAGTGACACCCTGTTGGATCCACCTCTCCTGACAGTCTGACCAGAAGCTAGGGAGGTGATGAGAAATATCAGTTAGTGAAATACATGCTTTGGAAGCAAGAGCCCCTGACCTCAATACACAGCATCTTGTAATCCCAGAACTAGGCGGTTGAAGACAGATTTCCTGGTCTACATAGTGAGCTCCAATCAGCCAGAGCTACACAGAGAAACCCTGTCTCAAAAAACAAACCCAAAAAAGGTACTTGTTTTTTCAGAAAGATGAGAATTTGGTTCCAAGTATTCACATGCCAGACCACTGCTATCTATAACTCCAATTCCAAGGGATCATATGCCCTCTTCTGACCTCTTTGGGTGCCAGGGACACTTGTGGCTCACAGGCATACACATAAAATAGTATATAGAAGTCTAAAACACAATTTTAAGAAAACAACATCAAAACATGGATCTCGCTGGACATGCTCTGTGTACTCTCCTGAGCTATGTGTACCCTTAGTCCAATTCTGTTGCAAATGACCTGTTATATAATATTTCAACTCCTTTGGTTTGTTAGACTCTTCCAGGGGCTTTGCCAGCTATGTGTGGTGTTTCAAAAGTCAACCAGGTGTGTTGGCACGTGACTTTAAATCCCAGCACTAAGGAAGCACAGGCAGACAGATTTCTGTGAGATTGAGCAAGTTGCATGCCACCCAAGGTTACATGGTCGGACCCTCATCTCTCAAAAAACAAACAAAAAAACAAACAAGCAAACCAGGAGTTCAATGTTAGACAGTGTGGTTCATGTTTGTAATTCTAACACTAGGGAGGTAGAAACAGAAGAACCAGGAATTCCCAGGTCCTCCTTGACTATGTAAGTCAGTGTTGTGGAATAGAATATTTGTTTAACTATGTAAAGACGTGCTGCATTTGTTTTACTATGTAAAGATAGGATACTGTTTCACCTTGCCTGCCTTGACCTTGATTGGCACTTGATTGGTCTAATAAAAAGCTGAATGGCCAATAGCTAGGCAGAGGAGGGATAAGTGAGTCTGGGGTGCAGAGAGAGAGAAAAGGCCAGCCAGACATGAAGGAAGCAGGATAGACAGTATGTAGATGAGATAAACAGCCTCAGGGCAACACATAGACTAATAGAAATGGGTTAATTTCAATTAAAAAGCTAAGCAGAAACAAGCCTAAAGATAAGGCCAAACATTCATAATTAATAGTAAGACTATGTCATGATCTGGGTGCTGGCAGTCCCAAGAAAGCCTGCTGCTACAAATCCGTAACTTCACATGTATATATTGGTTGATTAGACACCAAATACCACTGCCTGGCCTTGGGGCCTTCCCGGTTGGATGTACTTTTTCCTTTGTGGCCCTATGGTCCTATTTCTGGCTCTGGCTCCTTAATGCCCAACAGTAATATTATTAAAGTCCTTTTCTAGGATATGAGACACACACTTCCTCCCCAATTGCCCATCCAAAGCCTCATCACCCTCTGCAGTAATCCAAGTGCTTGTGGTGCACCCTGCCTCCACCATGGTTTTAGTTTTAGTACATGATGTAGCTCTGTTGTGCAAGAGGCATAGTGGGGAAGAAGGGAAGGTTAGGATGAGAACTGCCTGCTATGGGCACATCGACTTTTCTGTCCCGGTTTGACCTGGGTACAGGGATAGTGCCCACTTCTTGAGGTTGCCTGGACTAACCAGGTTCCATGAGTGTACCATAGGGCGGATCCTTCTAGATCACTGGAGACAGCGGGTCAACCATTATTTACTAGCATCTCTCTGTTTCATGTGTTGTATTTTATCTCTCAAGATTCTAGGTCTCTGGGGACAGAAAGATAGTTTGTAACTCTCTGTTCCTTCCTTGTGCACATGTGTATCTCCAGCACCCTGGACATGCAGTCCATGGCAGAAGTGGACTGACTCAGAAGCCCCATGCTTATCATTTTGTCTTCCCTCTTTAGGTCTGGGAGTGCCCCAGGATGGATCCGAGGATGAGGATAAGGAATGGCCCACCTTGGAAAAGGCAGCCAAAATGACCGGAGTGGACCACCAAGCAGAGGTGGTTGTGGACCCTGAAGATGAACAGGTCATTGAAATGTTCATAAAGAACCCTCCTACAAGGTAGGACTTAAGAGTTGGGACAGTAGATCCTGGTAGAAAGTTCCCACAAGCTAGTTCTTGGCCAGCTTTTGGTCTGAGCATTGCCAGCTACAGAATACCATCTGGGCCAAACTTCTAAGTGAGCCTGACCCAGACTCCAGATAGCTCCTCTTTTGTCCATCTGATGGAGAACTTCCTGGATTACCCAGTTTTCTCTTGGCATGTTACTCTCAGACCTTAGGCTCCCTTTAATCCAGGGCTTTTGGTCTCAGCCCTTGCATTTGGACTGGGTGGAAGCTAGAACCTAAGGATCTTCTGCAGCTGTTGCTGACATCTCCCCTCTAGTTTAAATGCTGCTTCTAAAACATGTAGGTGTTTCAGCTGCCTGTGGTCAAATTCTTGGGCATATGTAGGTGGGGGGGGGGGATAAGTTTAGGGCAAAGGGCCCTCATCCAGTTTATTTTGTCTCTGCATAACGAACGTGTGGCCGTTCTCAGTTCTTCAGAGTGTAGTACAGTCCGTCTCTTATCACGAATGTGAAGTGATGAGGTGAACACAGCCATCAGAACATGTAAACTATGGCCCATGGGAGGGACTGTGAAACACTGTCAGACGGTATAACCTGGGGTACATGGAAGAGACTGTGAAGCACCCAAACTAGAGGTTGAAATTTCACCCTGTCCCCAATAATGCCTTAAAACCTTATTTGGATTGTTTACCTCTGATTTTCAGGCCTCTGTCTGTGTCTGGGAATAAAAGCACCGCCCATCAGATGCAGCGGTGGCACACGCCTTAATCCCAGCACTCTGAAGGCAGAGGCAGCTGCATCTCTTGAGTTCAAGGCCAG